TCCCTGTAACGCCGAATTAGAGCGCAGCTCTTGAGGAGGAGGAGGGAAGGGCACTGGGGGGGGGGGTTAAACTAACCAGGGGGGGGGTCACGTGACTCCCAATGCCGATGATGTCATCACTGAGGTCACTGATGACGTCATCATTGACGATGACGATGCGGGTACCGATGACGTCATTAGTGACGTCACTGATGACTTCACCAGTGATGATGACGATGACGATGCGAATGTCGGTGACGTCATCAGTGACGTCGCTGATGACGTCATCAGTGATGATGACGATGCGGATGTCGGTAACGTCATCAGTGATGATGACGATGACGATGCGGATGCCGGTGACGTCATCAGTGATGATGACGATGGCGATGCGGATGCCGGTGACGTCATCAGTGACGATGACGATGTGGATGCCGGTGACGACATCAGTGACGTCACTGATGACGTCATCAGTGATGATGACGATGCGGATGTCGGTAACGTCATCAGTGATGATGACGATGACGATGCGGATGCCGGTGACGTCATCAGTGATGATGACGATGTGGATGCCGGTGACGTCATCAGTGACGATGACGTCATTGGGGGTCACACGACATCGGCGGGGGTCACGTGACTTCGGGGGGTCACGTGCCCCCCCCCACGAGGTCACGTGACCCCGGTGGGGGGCTCGCGCGGTGCATTATGGGACATTTCCAATGATGCACCGCGCGGTTACGCCGACGCCGCTCAAGCCGGAAACGGGCCCCTAAGAGCTGCGCTCTAAAAAATGAAAGACGTTTACAAATCCCTGTAACGCCGAATTGGAGCGCAGCTCTTGAGTAGGGAAGGCTACTGAGGGGGGCCACGTCACCTGCGGGTAGTCACGTGACCCCGGGGGGTCACGTGATCTCGGGGGGGAGGGGTCACGTGACCTCGGGGGTCACGTGACCCCCCCCCCCCCCAGTTACGCCGACGCCGCTCAGGCTGGAAACGGGACCCTAAGAGCTGCGCTCTAAAACAAAAAATGCCAACGCCATCGAAGCACAGGCCAAAGCTAGGACGATAAGAGCGAGAACCAAGAAACGCCGTATCATGCGTCCTAAAGGAACAAAAAGGAAAAGAAAAAAAAAACTAAAAAGTCGGGACGCCAGATGTTCTAAGGTCACCACTTAGAGATACGAGACGCGTACCCTAGCGGTGGTAGCATGAATCCGCAACTTTCGATTGTCTTGTGGCGTTGAATGTAGCCGATTTCGGACGTCCAAAGGTGTTTAGAGCGCAGCTCTTAGGGGCCCGTTCCCGGCTTGAGCGGCGTCGGCGTAACCAAGGTCACCCCAAGGTCACGCGACCCCTCCTCCAGGGTCACGTGACCCCCCGAGGTCACGTGACCCCCCCCCCCCCCCCCCCGAGGTCACGTGACCACCCCCAGGGTCACGTGACCCACCCGCCGAGGTCATGTGACTTCCCCGACGTCACCGGTATCTGCATCGTCATGTCATCATCACTGATGACGTCACTGATGACCTCACCGGCATCCGCATCGTCAACATCACTGATGACGTCACCGACATCCGCATCGTCATCGTCGCTGATGACGTCATCGGAGTCCGCATCGTCACTGTCACTGATGACATCATTGGCATCGTCACGTGACCCCCCAGGTCACTTCACGCCCCCCCCCCCCAGTACCCTTCCCTCCTCCTCCTTAAGAGCTGCGCTCTAATTCGGTGTTACAGGGAGTTGTAAACGGCTTTCACTTTTTTTCTGTTCTGCACTACACAGAAGTCAAAAAATCACGGCGAAGGCGCACAAATAGTGGGGGTCCCAACCAGGTGAGCTTGTACTACCCAAAACGAGGGCGCCACAGTTTGTTCAAAGCTTCAGCGCAGTAGGCCCATGCAGAGACTAAAGTCAAAGGATATGAGCGGGCGTCATCTAGCTTGCTTGTAACCCTAACCCACCTGAATGTGAAACATTTAACACAGAAAACAAGCATCGGAACAAAAACTAAGTAAAAGGCAGACTTACAAGTAAAAATGCAGTATAAAAAAACAAACGTCGAAGCAAAGCGCAAGAGAATAGAGAGGTCAATCTCGCTTTGCTTTAATGCCGAAGCAAACCCACATTTCGCAGTTCAAAGGAGTGCGCACGAATGAAGGTGGAAGGCAGCAGGGTTGGCCAGCTGCTAAACAACGCTCCTCGAACTGTGAGAAAACAATAACTGATCATCTTTCGGCGGCGCGCGAGTCAACGAGTTATCAGAGCTCTGCGAGTTATGAGTCACCCCGTTCCCAGATCTTAGTCTGTGTGTGCGCATGCATTCTCCATGCCGTCGCAAAAAAAAAAGCAAGACAAGAACGAGGAGCCGTGTATTGCAATTTCAATCTTTGCCGCTCCCTTCGTTTCTTTTGCTTGGTGCTTGGTTTCTTGTTTCGCTCTCGTGTAACACAAGTGGTCCTCACCCTGGCTGTTGGGATGGAACGGATTAGATGTTGTTTGTGATCGATTGTGGTTTACGCAAGACTTGGATCTCTTCGCTGGCGGCTTGCCACAAGATTATTTAGTCCTCGTATCCAGACAGTGAGCAAACTGTCTTAAAGGGACACTGACAGGGTATTTATGCTCGCCGAGGTTTTTAGTTGTACGTGACATATGAGAGCTCAACTACCCAGAACAGAATTTGCGGCTCGAAATTCGGTTTCTTTCCGCCCGAAAACCGCCGATCAAGAACTGGCCGGTTCGAGTCTCGCTCACTCTCTTTTCCGCGGTCACGGGCCGTTTTCTAAGGTATCGATGCGACCACCAAATTTAATCAAAGTCGTGGGTCACTGAAGGCACACACTCATTATTAAAAATAGAAAAAAATATGAAACCCATTTTTTGTGGCTTCTAAAAAGCTGCAAATACGTTGATTGAAAAAAAAGTTCCACAGACAACCGGAAGCATTCTGTGCGTGCGTCGTTTCGCGTATCGTGGGACTCGCAGGGACGCGATGGCAGCGGACGACGGGCGTGGGACCTCTATTTCAGAACTGTCGTTCGCGGTACCGGAGAATTTTGTCTGCCTTTAAAAGAGAAATTTGGGACTGATCAAAAGAATTGGTCTTCATCCCGTACGACACGCCCGACCACCAAGCCGATTTGCACGAAGACGTCGCCGAGCCGTCGCTCCCTTCTCGTGGCTGAAGACATCGCTCGCGCAAACGTCAAGCACGACGTGTCTACTTCGAGTTGAATATGTACGCGTACAATTTCTTTACAAGGTGAGAATGTCGCCAATGCGGGGTGCATCCCGACTTCGACCCGGGAGTGCTTTTGCTAAAGGAAAATCGGTAGCAAACTTTCCAACTTACAGTTTATCGGCTGAATTATTACTACGGAAAGAGATCCGCTAGTTTCGATATGCCCCAGTAGCTCAGTGGGAAAGACGTCCGCTTTACACGCCGTAGTATCGGGTTGATCCCCCGTGACACTTTTTTTTAAAAATGTTTTTCGATGTCTACATTTCTTTTTTTTTTTATAATTATCACTGAAGAAAAAAAAAATTAAACAGATGTTGTGGACGACACATCGCAGAATTAAATGGTATGGGATTTCCTTTTTGACACCTGCGAACTCAATGTAATCACTTTCCACAAAATGCAAGGAGCATATAAATCAGGTAGCGTCCGCTTTCCGAGGTGCCCGTAAATGGTCTACAGGAATTGCAGCCAGCCATTGGTCCCGATCCCGTTGATCTTTCGGAAACTCTGTCGCACAATGCCACTTCTGTTTCGGACGCAGGACACAGCTCTTCACGCAACATCTTGGGTGTATTCTTTTCGGAGCCGATCAAAATTCACCACGGGCATTCACTACTCATCTCCAACTCCTCAATATACAAAACAACTCATCTTGGAGTACAGAACAACGAGCGGAACATACATAACTGCAAAAGAATCCCACGGCAAAAAGCTCCCGTACGCCGCATGTCGTCTGCTACCGGGAAGGAGAAGAAAAAAAAACAAAAAAAAAAAACACGGTCGGGTGTAGCCACGTGACTTCCGCCACTCTCTCTCTTCTCTCCACTTCTCCGACCTCCGTCGGGTTTCGGTTTCGAGCAGTTGCGTCTTTTGGCTTTATTAAAAAAATACGCTACTCTGTTGCAAAATATTAATTGGGTAGTCCTCCGACATCATAATAAAGCGCCTGGCAAAAAATTAAAAAAAAATTTTGGGGGGTGTCAGTGTCCCTTTAACGTTGTGTGCTAAATGTTTACACAGTGTTTGTGCTGGCAAGATCCTGAATTTTGCCACGTGCTATCAGTGTGCATACCCGCCCGTGCAAGAGGGTCTGATCAATAGACCCTGTTTGAAGTTCAGTGCCATATGGTGGCTCAAATATCAGTTTATCTTTTACCATACTAATGGTGGTAATCGACCAACAGTCTACAGTATTTTGCCGGGTACCATCACTTTCGCTTGTTAAGAGCAGTCGAGAATGTTTCTTTTCATTTACCTTGAAATTCTTTCTGCATCTCTGTTTCGATGGTGATAAATATACAACCGGCAAGGACGAAGCACCAGCCCAAATTGACATCAAGGGGCTCTAGAAGTAATTATGTGCCACCAACAGATTCACTGGTCCTGAATTAGAAATAATTGCTGACGCAGCTATTGTATTCAATTCCTGCGTCGCATCATACCAACATCTCGAATGTATAGGCCTCGCATCACCCACTTCGAAACATCAACTTCTTCCATAACCAATAACCAGAAGGCTGCCATTAGTATGAAACATATGCCGTCCTCAGATGAGGATAGTGATCCCCAGACTGAATTTCGGAAAAAGTCTATTGGATCTCGTATGCGAGCATTTAACATCTGCTTCGCGCTCTAAGCCCTTCGTGGAAGGATGGGCCGGCCAAAGCATACGCAGGAGCAAGCGACTGCTCTACAGTGCAACCGTGCTCTTGAGAAAATGTTGTTGATGAGACCAGCAGACGCTCTCCGTTCGCATCACAACACCTGATTGTGCCTGCAGTTGTTTTTTACCTTTTATTTAGAAAATTTAATTTTGCAAAGTGACAGTAAAAAGATGCTGCATACAGCTTTCCATTGTTTTCTTCCCAAATTTTGAAGGGAACGTAAAATATTATTTTACATTCATTACTTCAACCGAGGAATCCGACGATGTGTACAGTTATGGGAATGCAAAGTTCTTTAAAAAAATATTAACATAAAACTTTAAGTACACAAAACTTCCTGCTTGAGGGTCATAACCTTCAGCTGAATCAAAAATTTCATAAATTTGATTTGATGACATAAAATAATAAATAGAAGTATTGATAATGACAGATGACCCAACATATAACCTAAACGAAGCCCCTCCACAAAATCATTTTTATTTGCAGTTTCTTCATTGCTTGCATGGCATGTGTAATAAATAATGATGGCCTTTTCGTTTTTGTTAATAAATAGCGACTATCGTAAAATACCGCAAAAGCGCCCACTATTAACATTTGCCAAACTTGGGAATTCTGCAAACTACACATTAAGCCCCCGATTAGGCCGGATAAGCATCCACGTCTAGATTAACCCAGTTTTCAGTGAAAGTGGGGTGGGCAATCCTCAGTATTTCACGGTAACACTGGAATCAATACCAAACACAGAAGAGGACGCAGGATTTTCAGAAGTCAACGATAGACCCTCCTTTTCAGGGCTTTGGACACACATTCAAGGTGAAAGAAAACCAGAAAATATTCTTAGTTTAGATCCCTCGCGTAGTCACTATCCCTCCAGTCATCGACAAAAAGATTTTACAGACATGTCGAACATGGAATTTTAAAAGTTCAATTAAGAATCTGAGAAAGAAATATATTGAAAATAAAATAACGTAGAGATGCTCTAGAGATAGAAAGCGTGCATAGCTTGGACGGTTGGACCATTTCCCAGTTTAAAAATACCAAATGTATTGTCGCAGAAGGCCGGGAACCGAGACCTATCGGATATTCCCCAAAAGACAGCTTGGACCTTTTTCTAGCTGAAAAAAACTAAATGTGTTGCCGCAGAAATCCGGGAATTGAGATCCGTCGAATATTCTCCGAAAGCCAGCTCGTAAACCGGTGCTGCCATGAAACCGGCATGGCAGCCTTTCTAAAAGCACCCGGTACCATTGCAAAAATTAACGATCAAACAAAAGAATCAGTCGTCGTCGCTGTCGTCGTCGCCAGGCTTTCCGCGGATCGTCTTGCGCTGGAAGGCGAAAGCTGGCTTGCGTTCTGGCTTGGCTTCGTTGGGCGGAACTGTCAGGTCTCCCGCGTAGTTGAGGATGCCCGCCCGTGCGATGCGCCACTCCATCATCTCGGTGCTGAAGTCGTCCGTGCCCCCGAGGCTGTCGAAGCCCACAATCATGTCCTTGGACACAAAGTCCTTGAAGAGCACGATGGTGGGCAGCACACGGATCTTCATGCGCTCGCAGAGGAACGGGGCCTGCGGCAGAACACAACAGCACTGTAAACGACCGGGGCATCACTTCTTTGTACGTCATATGCAAAGCTACTACTTGAAATGAAGCACAAATGTTCCAGCGACTCGCGGCCATAACTAGAAGGAAGACGCAAGCTCCCATGACATAACACAATGTAAGCAAACGGTACAGCTGGAACAGGCCTTGAATTCCTTCCTATGTTTACTTACTTATTTATTTACACCTTAAAGGGACACTTCTACAAAATTTGAAATATACCCGTCATGCTCAGAAATAGGCTGAGTATGGTCCACAGTATCCGTAAATGACAACTGCGTGTTCGTATTTTGAGCCCGATGGCTGTATTTCTCGTTATAAATGGCCCACTCCGGCAAGAAGTTGGAGAGCAGCTAGCGGAGAGCACGTGACATCGGCCGCAGTAATGACATAGATTGTCTTGGGACGAGCAAAGCTGCGGCGAGGCTGACATCGAGAGGATGTCCTAGACGTTCCAGCCACCGAAGCGGCCGAAGCACGCCAGCGACCGGGCCACCGCATCTAACCCCAAAGCTGCTTTTGTGTAAATTTTGAGTGATCGGTTGATGCTTTATAGTCTAGTAGAGAGACAATAGTGACGTCTGGGACACAGAAAAAGAGTGTCGGGGAGAGGGGAGTTCCTCCTTCCTTTCTTTTCTCATGGTGGCCAGAAGCGACACAGTTACTGTCACTACCTGCCGAGGTTCCTAGATGGGCATTACAAACGAGCCGTTAGCGACATGCACCAAGTGCTCTTTGCTAATCATTGAATTCGTTTTAAAATTCCTTTTCATATCTTTTTCAATGAGAGATTGGTGTGCCTGATGTGATACTGCTCCTTTCACCACGAATAGACCAAGAAATAAGTGCAGAAATTTTGTTCTAGTATCCCTTTAAAGGCTTGAAGGCATTACATAAGGGTGTACAACTGAGGGAAGATACGTATCATACAAATTAGAAATAGATAAATAGATTTTAAACAAAATTATTCATATGGTGGGTTACTTTTTCATGAAAATGCACAGGATCAGTATGAGGTCACTGTATTGTCATGAATGACAATGAAGCAACAAATAGATGAAGAAAACTAAACGAACTTGTGCCCAAAACAAAATAGAAGAAGGCTAGTGATGCAGGCGTCAACGGAGGCCTAACACCAAGATCAAGCGCTCGGGCGAGACTGATTCTGCTCGCCATGCCGAGTCCTTATGTACCCGCGTAAGTTTCTGGAACATTCGGTGCAGAACTTTCGGTGCGTAGAACATTCAAAACTGGATCAAACGACAATGTTCTCGAAGTTACGAGAACGTCAAGTTGAAAGAATAAATAAAAGAACATTCCGCCTATTGGGATCGAACCTATACCTTCCGCGCGACAATCAAGCACGGTAACCATTCGGCCCAGCACGCGCTCGCTCGGCGACAACCGTGGCAATATCAAACCTTGATAGTGATATAAATTTTGGGCTATTTTAAGAGGAGTGCACAGAATCCAATATTTACACAATTCTAAGTCAAGTTGACTGCAAATCAAACAGGCACATTGCAATTCAGAAAAATAAAAAAGAACTTTTAAAATGAGCGCACTGAGTGGCACAATGCTACAGGTACAGCCGGCTGAACTTGTAACAAACTGAAATGTTCTGGATATCACGACTGTTTAGTTTTTGTTGGCAGTGGAATGATTTAGTTCAAAAGTACTCAGACCCTATTATGTATTGCTTCCTTTCCAATGTGAAGAGGTTCATGCTAATGGCGTCCCGTTGGTTCTTGGGCGATGCAGTCGGAAGAAAAGGGTCTGTTGCCAGCTTCCAACGTTCATAGCAGATTGGACATTTTTTTCACGTGGCATCGAGGTTGTTTTTTGATGGTGGGCCACCACACGTAGCCAGGGGGAAGGCCCATGGGGCCCGGCCCCCCAAAATCTTCCATTTTGCTGGGGCCTCCTTTCCTTCCTCCTCCTCCTGCTGATACGAGCCAGCACACTTATCACTGACACTCTGCCCATCGTCACAGTGTTAATTTCGTCCGGTGTACAGCCTGCACTCTGCTGGGGGCAGGGATCTCGAAGTGGTATTGCTCCTGAAGGCGAGAATATTTCCATCAGGTGATCTGCAAGGTTTTGTCACAGTCTCTCCGTGGGCAGTCCTGCGTCCTCGTGGAGAGTAGTTGATCGCCGATCTGCTCCATTGAGAGTTCCGAGGTATCTGCAGAGTTTTCTGGGTGCATCTTTAGCACCTAGAAAAATGTCCTTCGTACTGTCCAAGCTGGTCTGACTAATTTTTCCTGTACAAGTTGTTTTGCAGCTTGCTTCTGAATCTGACACGTTTCACTTTATTGTAGCTCCGTCACTAAGCCCTCTATGAAGGACCATGCGGTGCTCCCAGCTCAGTTCCTGTCGTAGACCGCATCCCACCAACGCTTTCTCTGCCATTGCACACCATGGTCCTTCACTGACTAGTTTCTGATGAGCCGCTTCAGCTGTTCCACATATTCAGTATAGACCGACACGCTGTTTACAAACAAGCCCGCGTTCGCCCACACCAGGTGTGGGCATTACGCACGCGCAGAAACCGAATTCGAGTGAAATGAAGCGTCTGCGCATGCGCAGTGCCGTCAACAGCGCCACCGCAGCTGCGTGACGTCAGGGCCGCGTGTTGGTCTATAGCCAGAGGCATTCTTTTTCCTGTAACTGTTCTCCAACTCCTCTACAACTCTTTTTACAGTCAGGAGAGAAAGTCTAGTACGGGTTGTCTGCAGGTGGGGCTTTCTCTTAACTTTCTATGTTCATTTGGAGAACTCATTATCATCACTCCCAACACTGCGTTCACCAGCTTCACTTATGTGGGCGTGGACAAGATGACGAGCCAGCTTATGTGCGACTAAAACGTAGTCAATACATGTTCTGCTCTCGCGGGCACCCCATGTGTGCTCCATGCGTATATCGCGGGAACTCCACGCTTGTATCAGTAGGCGAGCGCCATTTAGTGGCCATCTTACAAATTGGTGCCGCGCGTCAGCCGCTACTCGGACCACCAGCCTTTGTAGGCATCATAGTAGCACAAGAAGAAAAGAAAATGGCGGCATCAGGCACACATAGTTGCCACTTTTTTTTGTTTTTCCATCAATGATTTTACGTAAGACGAGGATCGACTTTTTCTAATGAATTTAAAAAGAAAAAATGTTTTACCTATATTTTGGTTTATACATTACCTGAAATATAGCCAGAAAGTAAGGAGAGTGCCCAATAAGCATTTAGTTATGAAAGCTGTCCCATACTGTACGTTGCGACCTTCTAGCCCCTCCAGCACCATAGGCCATGAAACATTGGCTAGATTACCTGCTCTAGGTATTGGCTGGCGGTTTTTGCGGAGGCAGCACAAACTTTCTCGCTGGTGAAGGTCGTGCGGTGTATTGGTGCTAGTAGGTCGAGAATCGCGCCGAAGTGCAGAAGTAGCATTCGTTGGGTTGGAAGCCTCCGTTAAGGGGTGTCCAAACAGGGCACTACAAAAATCATCGGGCGACACAACTCCAACAAATCGCTCCGCTTCTGCCTGCTTTATTTTTGCCGGGGGGAAAGTTCCCCCCGTCAAATCTCACCCACGTCCTCTACGCAAGCCTTGATCTGCTCATCACGTGGGTCCAAAGGGCCACTTACACGCTCTGTTGGCTGTCGGTCAATCACTGAAGGCCTCTGCCACTTTGCAAGTCCCGAAAATGAGAAAGGGAAGACTTTAGGGTAAGGGGGCAAGCCAGGGAAGTGCGCGTCGTGTCTAAGGTTGTGTCGCCTTCCAGCAGTTCTCTGGACTGGATTGGATTCCTGCGGCCCTCTTATGTTCCCAACATACCTTGTACAGACAAGCAAACCTGGTTGGTTAGGAGTTTTATATAATAAAATATATATTCTTAAGTTCTCAGTGTTTATACATACAACTAAAAGTCTCACTGTTGCGCACTGCTCTTTATCTCCTTTTTTTCGAGCTACGAACATGGATTTCAACAAAAAAAGCAGAGCCGGGGCGGCCGAGACACGCGCTTCGACGCAGGATCTCCCAAATCCACCCAAAGCCGGACCTCTTTGGCCTTCTGGCGACGATGGAAGCAAGGTCGGCGACTTTGTGAGCCACGGGAGATAGACAGGCAGCAAGCACACCATTGGCAGGTGGCGTGTGACGTCAAGTCCGACGAGCACCGACTTAAAAAAAAAGTGGAGGAGGCAAGGAGGAAAGTCGTGAATTTGGCTTGGCCACTGTCCAAACAGACATACAACCGACGACTACTGGATGCTTCAATTTTGACGATTTCTGCGGGAGTCATGTGGCCTGATGATTTTTGTAGCTGCTTGTTTGGACAGGCCTTTACTTTTAAGTTGAGAGCAATACTGTCACACGAGCTCCCGCTGTCGTAGGTTCGTTTCTGTCTCCATCCGACGCTGGACATTCTGACGTAAACGTCGAAAGAAAGAATGGACTCGAGGCACCGTTTCTTCTCGAAGATTAGTCTGAGGGACGATAAAACTCCCTCCAATTCCAAGTTGACTTCCGGGCACATGAAGAGCTTGCGCTCGTGACAGACGGGTCAGGTCGCATCACTTGCGAGTATCACCAGAGCACCGATGTCACACATCACTGGACTGGCTAGCCACCTGTTCTGCACCGGGTTTTGAAGAGCCGGAATCTACTCCCTCGTGGCACGATGCGAAGCGTTGCGCGCTGGCGTGCATCCTGCTGCAAGCAACCACTTGTGGCCGCAAGGACGCCGCAACGAACTCAAACGTGTTCAAACGTGAACGTGTGTATGAGACCTTGCAGCCACCACAAGTCAGTCAGACACGCTCATCCCTAACTTCTCATCCAAACTTTGAGACAATTTCTTTATTCGTTAGAATAGGATATCCGAGGATGATAAAGCGGAAACGAAAACAAAAGTTCCGAACATTTTTAAATAAATTTGATTTTCTACCTTGGATCATCACGCTAAAGCCAAAA